AGTGCTAGCTAAAATTAGAGTTAACATCTGATAATATGCCTTGGATATTCTACTGAAAACAGTGCTTAGAAGAGTCTAGGACAACAAGACACATGCACATGTTATATTTTATGTATAATTTTCTTTTAATGTCTAAATGAAATGTCAAGGTTACTTTGATGTTGGTTCTTGATAAGCCTGGCTCGTCCTGGGTTGTAGGTATTCCTTGTCTGTGGGGAGTGAGGTACGGCAAAGGCTCTTTGGGATCCATGTGGATGTAACAACGAATGCAGAGCTCAGAATTCCTGCTTGAGTCATGCTTGGCAAGGGCAGCAATGGACTGTGCCAGGTCTTGGAGGGGCCCAAGCTGGGTCCTGAAGATTGACAGTTGCTCTGTGATCAGATGTTCCAGACACTGAGATGTGTGCAGTGTTTTGCATACAAGACCAATATGCACCTTGCAGAAGAGGACCTAGAGACTCTCTGAGTTCCCTGTAATTCCACTGTCTCATGTTCTGTACTGATTTGATTTCTGCTTCCTGATTGAGAGTCTGCTGGAAGGTGAAATACTACAAAAACACTCATTGGCTTGGATCACAGACCCTCACAGTCCTTCTGACCCCAGCTTTTGGCTATCTTTCCTCATCCCTGATCCTACTCCTCAGAGTCCCAATATAAACCCAGGAAGAACTGCTGGTCTAGTTTACATGACCTCCTATTTAATCAACAGTACATGTTTCATTGTTCCAACGCTGTAGTTGCCAAACGAGGGCATAGGGGGGTCAGTGTGAACTATATCCTGTGGTTTATTATCCGAGGACTATTGTGATGGGAAAGAATGTCCTTAATAATGTGACTTCTTAGCTTAGAAGCTGCATGTAGAACTGTTTAGGAAAAATTTGAATGCCTGGACACTTATTCACTGAAAAAGTGATGGGCAATAAGAAGAACATGAGAAGAAATAAAATGAATGCAAGTAAGCTGATTGCTCTGAAGAGACACCATGACCAAGACAACTTATAAAAGAATATCTCATTGGGGGCTTGCTTGCAGTTTCAGAGCGTGAGCCTATGACCATCATGGTGGGGAGCATGGTCGTAGACAGGTCATGGTGCTAGAAAGCTTACATCAACAAGTTGGAGGGACAGAAGAGGCCTGGCATGGGCTTTTGGGACCTCAAAGCCCACACCCAATGACATACCTCCTCCAACAAGACCACACCTCTTAGTTATCCCTAAATAGTTTACTAACTGTGACTCAAACATTTGAATATATGAGCCTTTAGGGGGTGTTCTCATTCAAAGCACCACACAAATCACCACATTGGATAATATCCCCTCACACATTTTTTTCCAATATTCACTAATTGAGAAGGTGCTTGAGGAATGAACACATATCTCTTACTGGACATTATGAAGTTAAACCTTAAAAGCAAGGTCCTCGGTTCCAGCCATGTCATAGCAGGAGGGCAGTCCTCTGCAAAGGCAGCTCTCATGTTGCTGGAGTTCTAGAAGATTGCCTGTCATTTCTTGCTCTAGTCATTTCTTGCCAGAGAATCACGGAACTGCTTCTGCTAGTAAATGTAGGATGTCCACCTTCCTTCTAGTGGATTTTCTGTTTCTAGTTTGTCCTTCTTCCCTTTACAGAGAATTTTAAAAACTGCAATGTGAATGTTTTTCTCTTCTTACACAGCAAAATTCCAGAAGCTTAAATCTGCTTTTGAAGCCCAGTTCTGTCTATGAATTCCCTCTTCATTACTGGAGGGAGCACCTTCCGCAGACACCCCAGTGCCTTGGAGGAAGGCCTTGCTTTAGTTCTGCACAGCTTTGACACTCCTTGCTCTGTATAGCATGGGCCATTTCCTATCTGCCTTCCACCCATTGCTCTAGGCTACAACAATAAACTATTAATGGATTTGAGCAAATGCACAGTAACTGCTGCCTCTTTTAGCCAAAGTTCCAACTTGGTTCCAATCATCTTGTGGAGAACCCGGTGCAGCATATGTTTTGAAAACTGTAGACTTGACGTGTCTTCAAAGAATCACCTGCGTGGGTAGCCGCCTGGTGGATCTTTCCCTGAGTGGACACTGCCACTCGGTTTATTATTTATCACTTGAAGCAGCTGCAGAATCTTCATGATAACCACAATCTTAAATCCATTGCGCTGACACACAGAGTTACATTAGAGATGAATCTGCTGAGGTCGGAAAGAAAGTGCAGGCCAAATCAGCTTTACCTTTATTTAGTTTTCTTTAACTGGCCCTCTTTTGCCTTCTTTTAGCATGAGAAGTCAGAGCCCCAGGTGTATGTGCAGCCCACAGGGGAGCAAGTTGTCACGTTCCCTTTTCTTCTGCCACCAGGGCCAGGTGTGAGACGTGAACGGAAAATAAATCTTAGCTGTGAACATCACCATTCCTTCAATCCTGACCTTTCTCTCGTCCCGAATTTCTCACCTGAGCAGCCTAGTTCTTTTAGCATAAAGAAACTGCTGAAGGAAGAAATGTTAGACCTACCTTTTAATTAGCTTTGCCATTGATTTGTACTAACTCTATATGAGTCACTGCTTCTTAGTGAATCCGATAAAAATTTCAGAGGTTAATGATTGTTCTCAGAATTTTCCTGGACCAGGTTCCAGATTCTCTGCATTTTTTTTTTTTTTTTTTTTTGGTGTCTGAACTCATTAGCTTACTCCCTTCTTCACTGGAAAGAATGCAGACGCACACAGAACCAAGCACAGGCCCAGGAACTAGATGTTCTTTTATGGATGATTATACGCTGCTTTTATAGTTAGTTTAAAAAATCCCTTTTGGCAATTTTACCTACTTTAATATATTTTTAACAGAATTTCACATAGCAAACTTTATGTTTTGAAAGAAAATTCAGTTATAAAATTGAGGGGGAAAAGGCCATCTGACAGCTTCAACTGTCAACTTGACAGAGCATACAGGCACTGAGTAGTTCCAACTGAGGGGTTATTCCCCAGATCAGATTGCTCTGTGAGCATATGTCTTTATAGATAATTGATATAATAGGGCTCAGCCTACTGTGGGTGGCACCATTGCCTTGGCAGTATAAAAAAGCTAGCTAAGCATAAGCCTGCAAGCCAGTTAGCAAATAGTATTTCTCCATGGTTTCATGTCCAAAATCTTGCTTGAGTTCCTTCCTTGACTTTCCTCAATAGTGGATTCAGAAGTGCAAGCCCTTTAGTCATAGTGTTTCACCACAGCAGCAAAAATGAAACCAGAAGACTGACAATTGGAGAGTTGAGTATCCCTAAAACAAGGTTGTTATTAAATATATTTTAAATATTACATTTCTATATACTTCCTTCCTTCAAATTTCTGTAATAAGCTGTGAAATAATAAATATTTTCAAAAATGACTAAAAAAGAAACAAAAAATTACTGAAACTGCAAAACTCAATAATTTAGATGTAGTTTTTTAGTGAAGAGAAGAAGCTACATTTTCCTTTCTGAAATATTATCATTCTGATCAGCTCTGGGTCAGGAGTCCTGTTGGATCATGGAGGTGCATTCTGGTGTGAGCTCACTTTCTCTTTTTTCCTGTCCTTTTTCCTTCTGTTTCTCCTCAACTACAGGTGTGAAACCCCCTGTTTGGGTCATTACATCTTACATTTTTATATATTTATTTATTATTAAAAAAAATTTCCGCCTCCTCCCAGCCTCC